TTCCTAGTTTTCTTAGAGCTTTTATCATGAAATGGTGTTGGATTTTATCAAAGGCTTTTTCTGCATCTATTGAGATGATCAAGTGGTTTTTGTCTTCGCTTCTGTTAATGGGGTTTATTACATTCCAGTGCAGTTTGTGATTTATGGTGTATTTTAAGTTGGTATTCTGTTCTAGCAACATTCATATGCAAATGAGTAATTCAATGTACAAAATGTTCTTTGTGCTTATGTTAATCAACCTTTCAAAATGTTAAACACTGATATCTATATATCTGTTTTACATATATATTACATATGTGGTTTACATACTGATATGTATATTTGTAGACACTTATATATATCTGCATAAAGAATGTGTAGATATTCTTTTTTTCACACTGAGAACTTGCAACGTACACAGCATGATATGTATTACTGGGTCCTCATGAATAACCATAATATTTTTTATATTCCTTTTCTCAATCATATTTTAAATGAAATAAAAAGAGAAGTATGCAAATAATGCACCCTGTAAACAAAGAATAAAATGAAAATGCACATTATGATGTAACATGGAAGATTGTAAGACTAGGTGTAGGTGCTAAGGCCAAGTTTATTTTATAATAGCAATGTGGATCTGTACCTGTGCTTTTACAGTGTTTAAAAATAATTACCTGAAATGAAATTCAATTTCTTGGTACACTTATAAATCTCTTGTCCCCTTGGTTACTTATTCAAAAGCATCTTCTGTGAAAATATAGTACAAATTTACTTGGTATAATGGGCTGAGGTGTAATGTCACTATTATGTTTCACTTAAATATCCTCATAATGTATACTTATCTTACACCTTCAATGAGAAGATGATATACTGCCTAAGATGCAGCATAGTTTTCCATCGCTGATTAGTATTCCTTTAAGTCTATTTACACTACCTTGTTAGCATTCTTTAAATGTTCCACAGACTCCCAGAAACCAATAAGAGCTCTTTTGTCCATTCTTTCCATGTATATCCGAAAGTGCTCCCGGTAGAAAGTACTGCCCAAAATATCTTCAAATTGAAGAATCTATTAAGGGAATTTAAGAAAAAAAATTAAATTTTAAATACCAGTTTGCCTTAACTTCCAATGAATTAACTTCTACATTCAGGGGAAAATGCACTTTTACAGTCACAGCCAATATAATATAGTACCACTAGAAAACTGAAACACCTGTTAGGTCACCCGTAGAATATACACTCCATGCTAAAAGCAATAGTTGCCGATAATAGAAACGCTGAAGAAAAATGTATGAAAGACCAAGAAGGTAGAGTATAATGATTTGACATTTTTACTTTCCATCATAGTTTTAATTGCTGAGGAAAATACAAATGATTTTATATCACTCCTTTTTATTTATAACACCACATTGATTAAAAAAATCCTTTACAGCCTCATTTTAATTGCACACTAACATTTCATTGTATGGACACACCAAAATCAATTCTACTGTTCTTTTTTTACTCTTTTGTGATCGCAGAAGAAAAAAAAAAGCCACCTATCTAAAGACACAGTAGGAACAACCTTGAGGATGGGTTGCTGTACTATGAGAAAGCACTTCCTTTAATGATTTATGTCTCAATTAGGAGAAATGCCTCAAATTAATTTAGAAGGAATTTAAGGTCCACATCCTTAAATTAGCAATTTAGTAATAAAATTTAGTTTATTTAGTAATAAAAAAAATGACATCTAGGGTAAGAGCTCCTGCTTGGCAAGCATGAAGCCCTGAGTTCACAGCCCAGTCGTACCCCCGCCCCCACAAAAAAAAGACA